GTTGAGGCAGAACCAAATCCTCTACCCACATGCCATCGAGGCTGAGCAAGGCCCCCCACCATAGGGAATGGGCTCCAAAAAGCCAGCTCATGTATCAGGTGGTTGGGAGATTTTTTTAATGACTGCTTCTATTTCACTATGGGTTATACATATGTTTAAATTGCTTATCTAACAATGATTTAAGTTTGGTAAGTGGTTCCTATCCAGAAAATTATGCATTTCTTTTGAATTTTCTAATATGGTTGAGTATAGGTTTTTAAAGAATGTTCTTATGATTTTCTGGATTTCCTCAATGTCTGTTGTTATGTCCCCCTTTTCACTTCTGATTTTATTAATTTGGGTATTCTTTCTCTGCCTTTTAGTTAATTCAGGTAAGGTTTTGACAATCACGTTGATTTTTCTCAAAGAGTGAACTCTTTGTTTCATTGATTCTTTGTATTTTTTCTATAATATTGATTTCTGACTTGAGTGATTATTTCTTGTTATCTACTCTTTTTGTGTGTGATTCTTTCCTTCTTTCCTTTCCCTTTTTTCCTTTTTCTTTTGTTCTAGAGATTTTAGGTGTTCTATTCTGGTGGTATTATGTCCATTTTTTAATGTAGGCAATTAGCGCTATGAACTTGCCTCTTAGAACTACTGTTATAGTGTTCCATGTGTTTGGGTATTTTTTCACATTCATTTTTGTTTACTTGTAGAAAGTTTTTAAGTTCTGTTTTGGCACACTTCTCATTCACTAAAGTCATTCATTCTGTTCTTATGAGCTTTTAAGCTTTCTGTTGTTTCTGTTGTTGCTATCCAGTTCTAATCTGTGGTGTTCTGATAGGATGCAGGGTATTATTTCAATTTTCTGTGTCTTTTGAGATGTCTTTTGCGTTCAAGCTTGTGGTCCATTTTGGAGGAAGTTCCATGAGGTGTAGAGAAGAAGCTGTATCTTTTGTGCTTGGATGAAATGCTCTGTAAATACCAGTTAGGTCCATTTGGTTTACAATATCTGTTACCTCCAGAATTTATTTCCTTAGTTTTCATCTGGATGCTCTGTCTATTGATGAGAGTGGGGTATTGAAGTCTCCCATCAGTGTGTGAGGGTCAATATGTGATTTAGGCTGTAGTAGTGTTTCTTTTACAAACATATATGTATTTGGCACATACATGTTAAGAATTGAAATGTCATCTTGGTGAGTTTTCCCTTGGAATATGTAGTGTCCTTCCCTATCTCTTCTGATAAGTTTTTGTTTGAAATATATTTTGTTAGATATTAAAATGGTTAGTTACACTAGCTTGCTTCTTAGATCAATTTGCTTGGAATATCTTTTTGCAATCCTTTACTGTGTGGTAGTTTCTATACTTGATATAGGGGTATTTCTTGGGTGTAGCAAAAAAAAACATGGATCAGGGTTTTGCCCTATTCTGTTAGTCTGCGTCCTTTAAATTTTTTTTTTTTACTTATTTTTTGTCTCTTTCACATCATGCATCTCAATTCCATTCATTTCCTTGTCTCTTTGTATTCACCCTCTGTCCTTGCAACCTCCTCCCACCGCCCCGCTCAAAAAATAATATTTAAGAAAAAGGAAAGGAAAAATCTAGTCATGGAAGCTGTAGCGTGACACAGGGAGTCACAAGAAACCCTTTTATCCATATATCTTTACTCGCGAATGTCCATTGCAAAGAGTCACTGGTCTGGTTCCCCTGGTTTCTGCTACAGTATGGATGCTGGGCCCTCACTGGGACTCCTCTTGGTTACCCTGTGTTGGAGATCCTGCAGCTTTTTGTTTGCAGGACTGGTCCCTTCATGAGCTCAAGCAGATCACAGACGCGGTGGATATTGGGAGGAGCCAACTCAGCCCTGGTTCTGGGCCTGGGTAGTTGCAGGGTTGGTCAGCCCACCAGCTCTTCCCCTTCCTCACCACCAGGGTGTGCTCTCCTGCATTGCCATGGCTAGTTTACACTATGCAGCACTGTGCTGTCCAGGCAAGGGGCAGGGCCGCTTTTCTGAGTGCAACTGAGAGATGCATCTGCTAAGGGGGAGGGTGGGCTCCCTAGTTTGTTGCAGGCCGCTGGGGGCGAAGGGTAAGGAGGGGCATTTCTCCCCTGCCTACACCACCGCTTGACAGACTAGTAGTGGGGACATCCCACCACCCAAGCTCACAGCTTTGGGGCTGGCTCACCTCCACCTTCACCAACAGGGTCAGCTCCCTTGCCAGCTGAAGGCAGTAGGGGCGAGAAGGACATCTTTTCCTCACTCCCACCGACACACCTAAGATGAGGGAGGCGGTACCAGCTGTTCTCTAGAGTCCTCAGGGATGGCTCACCCGTGCCCTTGTTAACTCTACTGTGCTGCCCAGGTGAGGCGCAGAGCCTGTTCTCAGGAATGCTGCAGCTGCTGAGGTATTAGGGTCAGATCTCCCACGTGCTGCAGGTGGCAAGAGGTGGAGGGAAGGAGGGCATCTTTACCTCACCCACGCCACCGCATGGCAGGGACGACCTGCTCTCCCATTCTTATGCCCTCAGGGCCGGCTAGCCCACGCTCCTGCAAACAGGGTCTGCTCTATTGTGCTGCCCAGATGAGGTGTAGGACTTGCTCTCCTGAGTGTTCTAGCCGGTGAGGGGTAGGACCAGTTCTCCCTAGTGTTGCAGCCAGTGAGGGGGTGGGGCCAACTCTGTACAGCCCTATCTTCTCAGCCTTTGATGGTGTCAGGAGCCACGGACATCAACACAGACCATGACCGCGTGAGAGCCATGAACCCAGAAATTGGCCCTGGCAGCAGCCCAGGCCCAGATATCACCATGGCCCTTGGTAGCAATGAAGCACCCACCTCAGCCGCTCCTCGCCTATTTTGCCTCTTCAGATATGCCTCATCCACAAGACATGAACCCCCTCTTCTCCACTCTTCCTTCCTCTCTCCCCCAAACCACACCATACAATTGCTCACAATAGCAGTGCCTGTCTGCCTGGTGCCATAAGGTGTTGGGTGGGCCTGTGTTTTCTCCTTGGAGCCCAGGGCAAAGTGCCCCAGGCCCACGTGTGGATCTCCTTGTCCCACTTATCTGTCATGGCATTGCGCAGGACCATGTTTCCTCTTCAGAAAGGGATCGTATTAGTGCCCTGTTTGGAGTGGAGGTGTTGCTGAAGTCTTAAGGGCTGCGGCTAGAAAGCATGTCTTATCTGTCTTTTTTTTAATCGGTGGATTGAGGCAATTGTTGTTGAGAGATATCAATGACCAGTAATTGTTGGTACCTGTTATTTTATTGTTGTTGTTCATGGTAGTTAGTGATTGATGCATATGTGTGCTGGGTAGTTTTATGGCAAATTGACATAACCTGGAACCATTTGTGAGGAGAAAACCTCAATTATGAAAATGCCTCCATAAGATTGGGTTGTAGGCAGTCTGGTAAGGTATTTTCTTAATTAGTGATTGATGGAGGAGTGTTCAGCCCATTGTGGGAAGTGCCATCCCTGGGCCAGTGGTTCTGGGTTTATTCTCCTTCCTGTATTCCTATTATTCTTAGATTTTGACTTTTCATAATGTCCCAGATTTCCTGGATGTTTTGTGTCAGGAGCATTATAGATTTAATATTTTCATTGACAAATGAATCCATTTCCTTTGTTGAATTTTCAATTCCTGAAATTCTCTCTTCCATCTCTTGTTTTCTGTTAGTGAAATTTGCCTTTGTAATTCTTGTTTGAATTCCTAAATTTTTTATTTCCAGAATTCCCTCTTTGGGTTTCCTTTATTGATTCTATTTCCATTTCAGGTCTTGAACAGTTTTATTTATTTTCTTCCACTGTTTGTGTTTTCCTGAATTTAAAGGATTTATGCATTTCCTCTTTAAAGGCCTCTATCATCTTCACACAGATTGTCTTAAGGTATTTTTCTTGTGCTTCAGCTATGTGGGAATAGTCAGGGCCTGCTGTAGTAGGGTTGCTGGGTTCTAGTGGAGACATACTGTCCTGATGTTATTGGTTTTGTTTTCACACTGGTGTCTAGGCATCTGGGTTTGGGGATGATTATAGTTCTAGGTGCTGATATCTGGTTTTGTCTTTGTTGGGTGGTTGTTTTGTTTCTTGGTTTCTGTTTCATCTCTGGGTTTTAGAAGAGTGTGGTGGCTGTGTGTTGTCTGCTAGGAATTTTTCTGTGGAACTGATACATGTGGCCACTACGGATTCTAGGTAAAACATTTTTCTGGGCATTGGGAACTGACACCTAGGAATGGGGATAGGCTAGGAGTCTGAGGGAGTTCACAAGAAGGAGGAGAGCAAACTGTTCCACCAGGATCTGCTTATTTAGTCTCCTTGGAATGGGGGCAGAGTCAAGAGTCACCTAAGATCTGCGATATACCTGGGGATGACACTTTGGGGTTGGATCTGGAGGAAAAGAGCAGGGTGAAGACATGCAGTCAGCCTACCTGCTTCCCTGGCAGGAGTGGCTTGTAGGTTATCAGGGAGTGCCTGCTGGGTTTGGGGGCTGGGGTAAAACAAGTGGAGGGAGGGGATGAAGGGGAAGGTCTTTGGGAGCCACAGAAGATGTGGGTGGAGGTGGAGGAAGGCTTCAGCAGATGTCCTGTTGCAGAGGTAGGGATGAGACTTGGGAATTGGATTTGGAGATGAGGTAGTGTTGAAAGTCTTCAGTTAACTCACCTGTTTTCCTGGTCTGCTCGGCTGATGTGTTCCCAGGGAATTCCTGCTGGTGGTGAAAGCTGGGATAATGGGATGCTTTAGGGGAAAGAAGGCTGGAGAACTTTATGATCTTTTGGACATGGGGTCAGAGCTTGGGAGGAGGCTAAAATAAAAATATTTTAACTAGCTATTGTATAATTGTAACAATATAGCTTGATAGGGACAGATTCTTAAATAAGCCCTAGCAATAAGCACAGCTCTAAAGACTAACCAACCCCTAATCACCTATGCTAACATCATAATGAGAACCCCTAATTCCTAACTAACATTAACATTTTTCATAGGGAGACTACTGCTGTAATGAAACACCATCAACAAACGCAAATTGGAGAGGAGAGGATTTACTTTGTTTACATTTCTACATCTGAGTCAATCATCAAATGAAGTCAGGACAGTAACTCAAGCAGGAACTTGGAGGTGGGAGCTGATCCAGGGGTCATGGAGAGGTGCTTCTCGTTGGCTTGCTTCTCATGCTTTGCTCAGCCTGCTTTCTTATAGAACCCAGGATCATCAGCCCAGGGGTGGTCCCACCCACAATGGGCTAAGCACTGCCCCAACCATCAATCACTAGTTAAGAAAATGCCCCATAGGCTTCCCTATTGCCCGATCTTATAGAGACATTTTCTCATTTGAGGTTCCCTCCTCTCAAATGACTTTAGCCTGGTTAAGGTGATTTAAAACTGGCTAGGACAACTGACTTCTTATTAACTTGACACAAACACACACTGTTCAATTAGAACATTTCCTTTCTCATTTGTCCCCAAGGTAGCACATTAATATCAATATTATAAAATACAACATAAATAAGTTCTAAGGACCCAGTCTTTACAAATTCAAATGCATTAAAAGCTCTCTTCAAAATATCCAGTCTCTTAAAAAACCCAAAATGTCTTTAAAAGTCAAAATCTCTCAACTATGGGCTCCTGTAAAATAGGAAAATAAGTTACATACTTTCTTACTTCACGAGAGAAGAACCAGGGCACCATAACAACCTTAACAAAGCAAAATCAAACTCCAATGGTATAAACAACCCAGGTATCCAATGTCTAGTGTCCACTTCTGATCTTCAGAGCTCCTCCAGAGTGCACAGGTCACTTCTCCAGCTCTGCCTCATGCATAGCTTATCTTCTAGGATTGGGCTGACTCCACTCCATGGCTGCAGCTGTTTTTGGCCGTTGTCCCATAGTTCTGGCATCTCCAAAATTCTGGGGTCTTCTACTGTAAGTGGGCTGCACTTTAACCAATAGCCTATGCTAGGCTTTCTTTTTGGTGCCAAGCCTCAACTCCTCTCCATTACACCTTCAGTTTTTGTACTTCAACTGGTATTCGGGGTGTACCTTCACCAATGGTCTTTTCTGGCCTCTTGCAGTGACAGCTGCTCTCCAGGACCCCTTTATGCTTTCAAAACCAATACCACCTGAGATTTTTTACACATGATCAAGTTTGGTTGCCAGAACAAGGTACAAGCTTGATGGCCTCTACAAGACAGCTTGTGTGTCTGATCCTAAGGAAACACTTCCCAGAAGACTCTGCTTCGGTGATGATGGTGTCTTCTTAATCACCACTAGGCTCTCAGCTCCAGCTGACCAGCATCAGTTGCCCCAGGACAACAAAGGTTTCTCTTGAGTGATGCTGGTCTCTTGTTAGTCACAACTCACTCTTTAGCCCCAGCAGACCAGAATGAGTCTTTATCTAAAATAGCAAATGGCCCTTTAAACCTCCCTCTGAACTTCAGAAGCCAGGCCTCCATCATCTGCACTGCTTTCAGTATTATCTTCGTACTTCCCACATTACACCTCATCTAAATCCTAACCCTCATCTAACCCCAAAGCCTACCCTAACCTTAATTATTGAATACATAGTGTTGGGAAGTGAGGACTCAAGAATGACATAGGATTAAGGTTTAATCAGCTAGGCTCCGCAGTAAATACCATTGCCTGAAAAGCAAAAACATACCCAGGACCTAATTAGGTATTTTAAAACATGCTGAGTTTGAATTGCTCATACAATACACAGATAGGTTAAGTATAACTGGACTCCTGGTTATATCCAGTCTAGAACATGAGTTTGGACAACACTAGCAGATTACACTGTCGTGGGGACTCCTAGGTCACCTGGAGATCTTAAATCAGTGGAGCAGAGGGTCAGCACCGATGTCAACCTTTAAGAGGGCAGTCTGTGGGCTATCAAGATGGATTAGTCACTTGTGACTAGGCCTAGAGACCGAGCTTCAATCCCTGAGAAGTTGTCTTCTGCCTCTACACATGTGCTCTCTCTCCCTCTCCCTCTCCCACACATAAATATCTAAATAAATAAATAAATAAATAGGTGAATTGAGTGCTTTAGTTAGGGTTTCTATTGCTGTGATGAAAAACCATGACCAAAAGCAAGTTGCAGAGGAAAGGGTTTATTTGGCTTATACTTCCACAGCACTGTTCATCACTGAAGGAAGTCAGGACAGGAACTCAAACAGCGCAGGATCCTGGAAGCTAGAGCTGGCAGAGGCTATGGAGGGTGCTACTTACTGACTTGTTCCTCAATGCTTGTTCATCCTGCTTTCTTATAGGAGCCAGGACTACCCAGAGATTATAGGACCACCCACAATGGGCTAGACCTAGTCTGTAGTTCAGGGACCTGGAAAAGTCCCTAAGTGTACTAGTCTTGTTTTTTGCTTGCATAGTTTTGATTCTTGCTAACTGTTCTTGCTAACCATAGAGTGTCAAACATGCTTTCTGTGCATAAAAGGCAAAGAACAGTCAGGCTCTGGGCTACCTGAGTTGGGCAAGTACCCTGTGTAGCTGGCAAATAAAGACTTTCTATTGGTCTTAAGAGCCTACCTGTTTTCTGAGGAGTTATCTTGCAACAATGAATGCCACACTGGTTCACTGGATGTGACCAGCCCAGAAACAAAGGCATCACAGACATAGGAATAAACCCTGATGTGAGAGCTGGACCCTGCCTCATCTTACTTCCTCTAACACATGACATTTCATAAAAAACCATGGTGTTTATAGTTTCACAGGGAAGGCCATTGACATAAGGGAAGTGACTTGCCCAAGGAGTGGTGGAGAGAGCAAATGTCTGAAGATTGTGGCCATCAAGGGCCAGGTTAACTGGTGTATGACAGAGGGAGTGGTAGACTTAGGAAGGCATGAAACAGCATGCCATTATCGCTTTATGTTATCTCTCCTACAAAAGATATCACTCCACTAACATACTGAAAAGGATTTGGTAGAGGTGGGTTAGTAAAATGGGGCTCTTGTTGTTTTTTATACTCATTTGATAATATTCTAAGTACTATATCAAGTGAGATGAGAACAAAGCAAGGTTGTGATTCTAAGTCTATATGCCTAAATTAGTCTTCTACTGAAGGGACGTGGTGAGAATAAGCACATAGACTCCAGGGATCCCGTTTTCGGGAGCCCAGATAGTCCTTTAGCAATTTGACTTCTAAGCATTTTTGTCTTATTGGGAAAATTGTAACAAGAAACACACACACACACACACACACACACACACACACACACACACTCCTAGCCTGTTCGGATGGTTGAAAGAAATTACAATTTCTGAATTACATATTCAGAAGTTACATACAGCATATTCCGGATCGACCCGTTTGACAGCCTTGATTAAGGTTTCCTCCAGAGCGGAACATCATGAGGCGGCGCAGCCCGTGCATTATCAAGAAGCGCGGACTAGCTTCCGGTTGCGAGCTCACTTAGGGAGAGACTTTGGCTACTCCGCCTGCGGAAGGCTTATCGGACGCGGGTGATTTGCGTCATCAGGAGCCCGGGGAGCCTTCCGGTGACTTAAAGCCTGGTGTCAAGAACAGCATGTCTGGCTGCGGGTTCTTGTCTCGTGGCGCGGCGGCTCTGGCCGCGGCGGCGACTGCTGTGCGAGCTTCCCGAGTGCCTAGGGTCTTCACGGGGACGCACCGCCGGCTGCACACCAGTCTGCAGAGCTGCTCTTTTGCCAAGGAGCTCTTCCTGGGCAACATCGAGCAGGTAAGGCAAGCCCTGGCTCCCTTGTCCTATTTCCACCTTCGTTGGTACTTGGCCGGAGTCCTTAAAAGACAAACGCCGGAGAGGCTGGGCTCGGGGAAATGTGGCTTTAATAGGGTCGCGGAGGTTTTTGTTTTGAGACAGGATCTCCTTAAGTATTATTAGCCCAAACTGCCTCTGAACTCACTCCGTATACCAGGCATGCCTTTAAATCGTGACTCTCCTGCCTCAGTCTCCAGAGTAGTGATTTAGAGGCGTGTGCCATCACACCTACCTTTCCAACTATTCCTTGTCAGGGAAACTTGGGAAATCCTTGAAGTGGTTATTACGAAGACATCATCTCCTTGTCCAGGCTGGGAGATATGATTTCTAAACAACTCATTCCGTGCAGCTTCTCTGGCTTACCTTCAGCTCTGCGACTTCCTCCAAGTTTCCTTTCCCCTTTCAGAGCTCCACAACCCAGCTTGTAGCAACCTCCAGGCCATCACGTTGAGAGTGAGAAGGCTTTTCTTTTCTTTTCTTTTCTTTTCTTTTCTTTTCTTTTTTCTTTTCTTTTCTTTTTTTTTTCTTTTTTTTGGTTTTTCGAGACAGGGTTTCTCTGTGGCTTTGGAGCCTATCCTGGAACTAGCTCTTGTAGACCAGGCTGGTCTCGAATTCACAGAGATCTTACCTGCCTCTGCCTCCCGAGTGCTGGGATTAAAGGCGTGCGCCACCAACGCCCAGTGAGAAGGCTTTTCAATGAATTTGAGTTCGATTCTTTTTAGTTGTGTTGTCTTTAGACAGTCTTCTTGTTAGACCCCCGGAAAACTCAGGCTTCCAGGGTCTTAGCCCACAACCGTGGTCACCCAATCACCAGGTGGATTCGAAAACTTGCTGCAAACTTCATGAGGCTTTATTGTTGTTGTTAGCTCGGGTCTTTCACCCACCCACCGTGGCAGATGGCTAGCAAAGACACCTCGGAACCAGCTGCATAGAGATCTTGTAGGGCAGCGTAAGGGGCGTGTCTAGGGGTACGCACAGGCTCAGGATTGGTGTGCTTCCATGCTTGGAGGGCTTGCCCTGTGTTGATTGGCCAATTGGTTGTTATGGCCCTTAGGCCCTCCCAGGGTGGTTGCTATGCTCTGTGTGTCATTGCTGAGCACTTGTCTGTAAAGCATACCCAGAGCCGTAAACATAGTGCCACCTGCTAACTTCTGATTGGTTCCTTGCCATGAGGCAGGCGTCTGACTTCTAGAGACTAGGACAAGGTCATGGCAAGCACATGTTACTGTCATGGCTGCCGAAATGGGGAGCTGGTCCCTTCATTCTCATATTGTCTATAGCCCTCTCTTTTCATCTACAGCAAGCCTCTTGATGAACTAATCAGTGTCCTGGCTTTAAATATCGCCTCTATGCCTATGACTCAGATTTACTTTTCACCTTAAAGTTCTTCCCTTAATTCCAGACCTATATCTTCCTTTCTGCTCAAAATCTCCCCGAAAATGTCTAATAAGCATCTTTGATAAGCGTATATAAAAAGTCTCCCCTGGATCCCACCCACTGTTGCCTTTCCCAGCAGCTTGTTTACCACAGATAATGGAAACTCTGATTCAGCACATTCTCCCGTGACATCTTGATTCTTCTTATTCTCATAGCCCACATTGCATCCTATAGTAAGTAAATCTTTCTTTGTCTTCAAGTTACATTTAGAATCTGACCACTTTTAGCTACTTCCTGGATCAGTGGAACACAGTTCTCAAAGCATTTCTAGACCTTGATCAGGACAGTGGCAGTGATACTTTAGAGTCTTGTGGGAGGGAGTGTCTCAGTTACCCATGCCAGTGGCTGCCACAGGGACAAGTGGGAGATTGAATGGGTGAGGTTTGTGTGACATTAGCAGACTGACCTACAGCCAGTTGGCTTTCTGTTTGTTTGTTTGTTTGTTTGTTTTTTGTTCTTTTCGAGACAGGGTGTCTCTGTGGCTTTGGAGGCTGCCCTGGAACTAGCTCTTGTAGACTAGGCTGGTCTCTAACTCACAGAGGTCTGCTTGCCTCTGCCTCCTGAGTGCTAGAACTAAAGGCATTAGCCACTTGGCTTTTATAATTGACTTCTGCAGTTGAATTACTTGAATAACAGGTTCTGTTGCTTTACCAGCTTGGAAGATGCTGATTGAAATCAAGCTCCAGTCCCATGGTGTGCCTCATTCAGTTCTGCCTCTCATTACTAGAGGGTATTTTCCTCCTGGCCCCCAGAATCTCCTCATGAAGTTTTATGTTGTTTGCTTTGGTTTTGTTGTTTTGTTTTGTTTTGTTTGGGGGGCAATTGTATTTGTTTGGTGTTTTTGTTGTTGTTGAAATGGGAGCTTGATGTGTAGCCCTGGCAGGCCCAAGATTCACTATGTAGACCAGGCTAGCCTTGAACTCACAGGAGTCCACACTAACAGAGGACATGAAAGTTGGTTAAATCCAGTCACACAGGTAAAGTGTGGCTAAGTCAGGTTGAATTCTTGTCCTGGGATCCTGAACCTCTAATGTTCAACACAGGAAGCCAGTAGCCATGTCCTAAGAAACAGTTGCTCAAGGGAAGACATGCATGGTGATTGGAATATGTTCTTACTGTTGGGAACATTTGCGCTCACACAAAGAATGATTGATGTCTGTTTTAATGAAGAGTCCTCATAGCCATTGTCTCACACAAGTCTCAAAGGAATCTTGGGGAAACGTGGCCTGCACATTGTTGGTGAGAAAATGGAAGTACTGCTGGAATCTGACCTCAAAACTAGTAAATAAATAGCAGGGCATCTAAATGGAAGTCCCCGGCTACTTGTTTATAGGACACTCTGCACCCTTATTAGTGATAACAAGGGTGAAAATTAAGATTTAACTCTCCTGCATGTACAAGAAAATAGATAACAATAGAGCCTTAGACGTAAGCCCATCCCTGAAGGATCTTGTGAAGTCATGTCTCTCTCTGCCTCCCTCCTGGGACCAGATGTGTAACCTAACTCATTTCCCTTCCCTTCCCTCCCCTTCCCTTTTGATAAACACTATAATGAGAAGTTCCTGGAAATTGAATTTGTCATACTTGTTTTTTACTTTTTAGAAAGGAGTTTTCCCGTTTCCAGAGATTAGTCAAGATGAACTTAGTGAAATCAATCAGTTTGTTGGACCAGTGGAAAGATTCTTTACCGAAGAAGGTGTGTATGGTTTTCTTTGTCATTGTCTTCCCAGGGTCAATTGGATTGCTTACATAAGAAGCCCTATAGAGAGAGGAAGCTCTTAGTGTGGTTATTAAATTACAATAGTTTCTACTCATAATAGGACCTTCAGGGATCACTCAGTTTAGTTAAAAGACACTAATTCAATACTCCTCTAGTCTCTGTGGTAAGGAACCTCTTTGAAATGTTTCTACACTGCAGCAGGCTAAAACTTGTATATAACATAATTAAAGTGAGTAACTAGAAAAGATGAAAATAGCTGAGGTCAGGTAGTTCACATACTGTGGCAAAAGCTATGTAGTTTTAGAAGCTTCTTTTGGTGGCTTTTGTGGAGTTTCTGTAGACGACTGTGTTGCTGATGAGCAGTTTTCTTCATGTCCAGCCTGGAGTTCTTGTCTCTGACCTTCTGCACTGGCCAGACTTTCATTATGATGTTGACCAGGTGGCAAGGCCAGGCTTCCTTGTCGTCTTCCTTATTTTAGGGACATAGTAGCACCCACCTGTTATCCTTAGGTCTTGAGAGGCAAAGCAGAAGGACTGAGATTTTTGAGAGACCAGATTACTTTTAGGGAACCTTTAGTTCTCTTTATTGACTTGTGTATACATAAGTATAGATTATGATGTTTTTAACACTTTACAATAGTGATAGTGTTGGATTTCATAGCCAAAGTATACTTTAATTAACTTGATGCATACAGACAGTACAATTATAGACATAGAGCTGGTGATTGCTCACTTCTACTCTTTCATGGGGTTTTGCATTTCTTTTATCTAGTGTGTGTTTGTGTGTATATTCATGTGCGCATTGTATGCCATGGCATGTCTGTGGAGGTTAGAATATACCTTGTGAAAGTTGGGTCTCTCCTACCATGTAAGTCCCAGGTATCAAACTCATGTTGTAAGGCTTGACAGAAAGCACTTTATCCACTGAGACAACTCACAAGGCCTAGTATGAATTTTGAGTCAGTGGCTAAGTTAGTGTTACACGGAATAAGTTGTTCCTAGAACCTATGGACTATAGTGTAGACATCGAGGCTCTGAATACTGGGTGGAACTAGACTCAGACACCATCTGCACAGTGCTGTCTATCCTGATCTTCCATTACTGCTCTGAGCTATGTATTTACTCCCTAATGTTTGAGAAGGTACAGCAATTAAATTAAAGGTCCAGTTGAGTGTGTGTATTACTTGCTTCTCTTATCCCTGTAGCAGAATTGCCTATAAGAAGCACCTTAGGGAGGAAGGGTTGTTTGGCTCATGTTTTAAGGCTGTAGTTCATGGAGGTGACAGTCTGGTGACAGAAGCAGATCTTTGCTGTGACTGCTTGCTTCTCACACCTAACCCGAACCAGGAGAACAGGTGGGTCTGAGCTGCCCAGCTCGCCTTCTCATCTCCTCTTTTACTATAATGCAGGACTGCTGCCCATGGGGTGATGCTGCCCATGGGCGAGGCTCTTCCCACCTGAGTTAAACATCTTTGGACACTCCCTCAGAGGCACACCCGGAGGTTTGATTCCTAAATCATTCCAAATTCAGTTAGGTTGACAAATAAGATGACCATCATAGTATGCCTCCAGGAATTTGTGCCATAGAAGTACATGAC